TTTAGTACTGTTGTGAAGAACTTTGGCCTGCACCAGAGTAAGTGTGATCATTCTGTGTTCTATCAGCAAACAAGTACTGGCATGATCCTACTGGTTGTATATGTCGATGACATTGTGATTACAGGAAACAATGCCTCGATGATCTCATCTCTCAAATCGTTCCTTAACTCACATTTCCAAACAAAGGATCTGGGTTCATTGAAGTATTTTCTGGGAATTAAAGTCATGAGGAGCAAGAAAGGCATCTTATTGACTCAAAGAAAGTATGTTCTTGATCTGCTGAAAGAAACTGGGAAACTAGGGGCTGCCCCGACTAGCTTCCCTATGGTCTATAATCCTCTGCTTGATGCTGATGGGAGCATACCATGTGAAAATCCTGATGAGGCTGCTAAGAGCAAGCCATTTCAAAATCCAGAGAGGTATAGGAGACTGATTGGGAAGTTGAATTACCTTACAGTAACCCGTCCTGATATCACCTATCCAGTAAGTGTCCTTAGCCAATTTATGGTTGTGCCAACTGTCCGACAATGGGAAGCCTTAGAGCATGTGTTACACTACTTGAAGGGATCCCCGGGTTGGGGGATATTGTACAAGAATCATGGTCACACAGACATTGAGTGCTTTTGTGATGCTGATCATGGTGGGTCGAAAGCCACGAGACGATCTACTACAAGATACTGTGTTTTTGTAGGAGGCAACTTGGTGTCCTGGAAAAGCAAAAAACAGAATGTAGTGTCACGATCGAGTGCAGAAGCGGAATACATAGCCATGGCGCAATCTGTATGTGAGATAGTTTGGATATACCAGCTACTAAAAGAGGTTGGTCTTAAAACCTCGTTACCAGCAAAGCTGTGGTGTGATAATAAAGCAGCCCTACACATAGCTTTGAATTCGATCTTTCATGAACGAACGAAACATATTGAGATTGACTGTCATTTCGTCCGATACAAGCTCAAGGAAAACTTCATCTCTACAGGACATGTAAGATCCAGCGACCAGTTGGGTGATCTTCTCACCAAAGCTCTCAATGGGGTTCGAGTTGAATATCTTTGTAACAAGTTGGGCATGATTGACATCTATGCTCCAACTTGAGGGGGAGTGTAGAGATATTATAGGAGATATTATAAGATATGTAAATATCCTGTAATTAGTATATAGGATATGATATGATATAATTTTATAGTAATGAGCCATTAATACCTATGCTCCTCTATTGTATATAAATACCCAATCGAAGTATCAATAAAATACACAATTTTCATTCTCTAAATTACAATGAGAAAATGCATCTTAAGTTGTTTGATATAGAAATTTTAGTTTACCATAAAAATTAGTTATCCGGGAGATAAACTTAGACTAGCTAGTACATGGGGTATCCTATAAATTCGTGAAAAAAAGTGTCAGCATATGAGGAAACTACGATTAGGTTTCCTCTTTTTTCCACATGTGGAAACATATATTGTCCAAACCTACTATATCTTATTCCTTTCAATCTCAAAGAAAGCACAACTCAAATCTCAATTGGAGAACATGCCAGCAACCAAATACACATTTAGTTACCATGATTTTTTTCCTCAAAGCTCCAAATCAATTTCGTTGATGTCAAGAAGCAAAACAGGTCTCCTCATGGGCATCAACTAGTAAGAAGATATTTCCTCTGTGAGCATTCTGAGAGTTGCCAAGAAACAAGCTTAACATTGTCAAAGATCTTGCAAAGTAGAAGTTGAAGCTAGAACGAAGGCTTTGAACTTAGAAATGGAGAGAAAATTGGAGAAATGACCTTAAATCTTTGTGTATGGACCATAAATTGAATTGTTTGAGATTTAAAATTGAAGGAAATTATTTTATTTACTAATAGTGGACAAATTAATACTACCAAATCATGCACCTCTTGCCACAACTATAGATATCGATATTTTGAGAATACGCCTTAATAGACAATGGTTAATGGCTTTGACGGGCAATTTTACTAGAATAGGTAATAATGACATCTTTGTTTTAGTGAATGATGAGAAGAATAGGTGGCGTCATTGATCCATAATAAGCTCATCAAACTACTGTCATTTTGTTTTAGAAGTGAAGGAAATTATTTTAGTGAATGCTTGCTCAGTAATGGCATGCATCATCAACTAAAACAGGAGGGTTTGACTCCTTTAATGGGGAAACAAATCACCCGTTCAATTGATGTAACCTAACTCCTAAAAGATTTGATGGATTTTCTCAGAAGAACTAAAACTAGAGGCAAGATCAAAGGCACGTGATTATTAGAGCTAGGGAGAAAAGGAAGAAACTAATCAAAATATTTTAGTATTATAAAACTTAATGAAAGCCTTCATGACACTGAATCCTCTAACTCTACTTGTGGAAAGACAATGATGTCATAATGACACTTCTTGCCTTTTGAAAATACCTAACTGGCCCACAGTGAAAGCTGCTAAGTTAATTTGTCTGCCTGAAAGGTGAATGGCTGGCGTTTAGGTTGGATTTTGGAAGTTTGAACACCATGCATGCCACTTTGGAGAGAACTTCCTCATCACGGCCTTGGAAGAAGATAAGGAAAACTTGGCACTGCTGACTTTAATAGATTAGTTCTATTTTTCCTGTTCTACTTTGTGAAGTAAAAGTCTATTCGCATGGTAAAGTTAGATTGAGAGACCTCATTGCTAGCGAACTTGGTTTTAAGTGCATAGGTTATCACACCCAAAGTTGTTTTAACCTCATGTGAATGCTGATGGAGTGAAATCAAAAGCACTGAAGTTTGTCTGAAGGCTGCGAGACTTCTAGCTTCATTTTAAATGAATTTTTATCTTCCTCTATCTTGCTGGTATTTACGTGCTATAGGAGAGCTTGTCTATTCGAAGTTAACCATTCACATCATCGTTTTCTTTGCTATTGGTTGAATGTAGATTTTTTCTGGTCACTTTTAGAGGTTTGGATAAGAATGCTAATTGCTTAAAGATTTATCAACTTCTGGTTTAATCAACAACAGGAATTGTAAAGAGCTGCTAGAGGCTTACCAACAGGGGAATAGTCACCCGTCAGCTTCAGTCTTCAAGAGCAAGCATATCCAGCAGCCAAGAGGGTATTTTCTGCTGTGGTCGGTGAATGTGTTTCACTTGGGAGAAGTTACCAATATCTCTTTACAAAATATATCCGCTGAAAAAAAAAAAATTCTGGTATAACCAAAAGCATAAAGAAAATTCCACCAAAAAATTTATCAAAAGTTATGTTCAGTGAAATAAATAATTCTATCATTTTTCATTAACAACACAAGTTTATAGTCAACAAATGTACTAGTAGCTAGGTAGATACACGTTTCTTCCTGAAAATTATTTGGATATATTTTCATCCCTTTTTTTTTTTTGGTAATCTAACATGATAGGCAACATAGTTTGGTTATTTGTCTACCGTTTGTGGTAAAAATAAGAGGAAACATTCCTGTCTGCAAAGTATGGCAAGTGCATGTATCAATTTAACGTTTTGTTACTTGTCAGGTCCTATGCCTGATGATCTTGAGAATGTTGAATTTTTTTAGCCTGGTATGAGGGAATATAGCTAGTTGATGGTAAAGGAACATTGACGAGAAGTAGTTATGTTAAATTAATGTAGAATCGTAAGCGTGATTGAAGACATACTAGTTCTTGTGATTGGAGACATATTCACGTAATTTAAAATAAAATTCTTCATATTTTTATAAATCTCTATTAAAAAGTCATTTTTGAAGAATCTTGCCTCCATTTTAGGCAAGTATTTAGTTAGTATTCATTTAGCTTACTCTATTATCTCAATAAAATATCAATAGCACAGCTCATATTATTTTAATCTTGACTGACATTTACTTAGTTGGCCCTATTATTTTAGTAATGGCACAAATCGTGTAATTTTAATCTTAACTGACATTTACTTATTTTATTATCTCACTAAAATTTCAATAACACAGTTCATATTATTTTAACTGGAATTTTCTTAATTTACTTTGTGTCTGTTTGGTATGGCGATCTAAGTATGGAAAAGTGGCTTTTGAGCTTATAAGCACGTTTGAATTAGCTTTAAACGCATCTAACTTATGGCAAAAAGTTGCTTATAATCGTGCGATTTTGTGAAGTTCTTTCTTACTGCTTTTTACTTTTTTTCATTGTGCTTTTGTGCCAGATTCTCCATCTTCTCCTTTATTTTGTCGTGACATGTTTTTCCCAACTGGTCAATCTCCTCTTATATATACGTGTGTGTATATATATATGCCCCTTTTGAAAACTATTTTTTATTTTATATTTACATAAATTGTACACAAATATATCATTTAATTAATTATATAATATTATTTGGTTTAAAGATTTCTATAGATTTCTAATATAAATATATTTTATTTATTAAATTTGACTTTTTCCTATTAAAATAATTAAAAATTATTATATTATTTAAATTATTTTTTCTCTTTTTATATTAATAAAAATCATATTTATTTTAGTAATTTTACAAAATAAACTTGCTTATTCAATCATAATTCAAACAAATTCTATTTTTTCAAACTTATTTATTTATAAAAGTGAATCCAAACATAAATCATATTAATCAATTTAACTTTTACTCAATCATTTTTTTAAAAATCAAATTAAAAGTAAATTATTTTTTTTACCACTAATCCAAACAAACATCTTGTTACCTTTGTAAAACTCCTATAACAACTCATCATTTTAAAAAAATGTTTGGGTAAAAATAAAACCCTGATTTTAAAAATATTTTTACATTATACGAAATAAATATGTAAAAAAATTTGTCCCACTTTGCAAAAACATATTTTTGAAAAACACTTTTACACTCCCCCAAACACTTTACTCTCAACCAGCACTTAATTGACCTTATCATCTTGGTAAGATCTTAACAACACGAACTCAAAATTTCAACCTCACCTGATATTTGGATTGGGCATAGTTGCCCCCTTCCTAAATATTCTTTTAGTTTCAAAATTAATTCAATTTAAAGATTTAGTACTCTTTAGATTCAATTTCACCAACCAGGTGAAAATATCAGCATATTACATTGCCATTGCACTCCGCTTTTCCACAAAGCATTTAAATAATAAAATTATCCACCTCATAAGTGATAACACTGAATATGACAATATCTAGCAAAGCTCCGCACCACAAATGCCACAAGCAGAAATTATTAACCCACATAGGACCCGTCCTGACTCAACTACCAACAAAATTCTCGTACACTACCAGATGTATGTATGATATATCGTTCACACGGATAATAGTTCTACCATTAATTAAAGGTAAAGCCAACACAGAACCAGCAAATCTCAAGGAGAAGCTGATCTGGGAGTAAGAGACCTCGATACTGATCTTGAACTTGCACTCACACTCGGACTTCTTGAGTAGCTTCTATAACGCTTAGAAGAGCCACCTCTCCTGCTGCCTCTTGGCCTGGGAGAAATGCTGCGAGAATAGCTCCTTCGTGAACTCCTCCTTGGTCTTGGGGAAAGACTTGGTGAATAGCCCCTTATTCGTGCACTCCTCCTTGGCCTAGGGGACAGACTCCGAGAATAGCTCCTTCTTGAGCTCCTCCTCTTCACAGGAGAGACACTGCGAGAATACCTCCTAGAGCCCCTCCTTGGCCTTGGGGAGGCACTTGGGGAAATGGACCTGTAACGGTGCTGTCTGTAGTAGCGATCATCAGGTGAGTCATAAGGAGAGTATGATCTATCACGCCTCCTCACAGGTGACCTGCTGTAAGGGGAATACAATCTGCGTCGTCGGTCATATGGAGAATAGTATCTGTGTCGGTCATAAGGCGAATGGGACCTCCTCCTGCTCCGCCGGCTGTGATACGGAGAGTAAGAACGGCTCCTGCTGCGATCTGAAGAATATGGCGACCGGCTGTAGCTTCTTCTGTAAGGAGAATAACTAGGAGAGCGACGAGGGGAGGAGCTCAAAGAACGGCGGCGACCTGCAAGAAGTTTGTATTGATTTTAATGATGAACGAGCATGTCCAAATAATCATATACAGAAACTAGGAATGAAAGAAAGCACCACATAAGAATGAAGGTAGAACACTTACCCCGAACAGTCCTCAACCCGAGATACCTCCCAGGGGTTGGAGTTCGACCTCTTCGCCTTCTAGCCTGCAACGATTGCAAATAAGGAGCATGAGACCAAGAAACCACAAAATAACTAAAGACTAACCATGGAAAAAGGTAAAAGCAAATAATAAACTATCAGTTAGAAGAGCAATCTTAAAGCTAAACAGATCATAAGACATGAAATTCAATTATACAATTGCGAGAAAAGAAAAAAGAGAGAATGCAGGGCATACAACCCCAATGGCCTGATACTTGTTGATGTGTTTGATTTGTATGTTTAGTTGAGATTTGTAAGTTTGATGAAGAGCTGCTACACACAGCTAACCTGCTGCCACAGAAACTTCACAGGGAAAGAAGCAAACAGCTTTCAAATCTCACAAAAGAACTATAAGCAACTCATCCATATAACTTACGTGCAAACTGAGGGGTATAGAATCAACAATAAACAAGTATGTAAAGAATCAACATTTAAAACTAAAATCAGCGACTGCATGATATACCTTCTCTACTGTGATGACACGCCCTTCAAGCACAGAGCGATTCAGATACTTTATGCATCTATCAGCCTCCTCAACATTTTCCATTGTCACAAATCCAAACCCTCGTGATTCTCTTGTCCAAGGATCAACAACTAAATGAACATCAATCACCTATACAAAACAATACAGAAGTAAGAAAATTTACCAGAATTTAAAAAAACAAAATAAATTATTACACACACACACGCACACACATCAAATTTTAAAAAGAAGGTGATGACAACAGCAGAAGGAAATAGACATACTCTTCCCTCACTTGCAAAATGCTTCTCCAGCTCTCTCTTAGTAATCCGAGGAGACAAGCCAGTAACATACAAGTTGTTACCAGGATTCTCTGCTTCCCTTGATGGGCTCCTATATCAGAAAAATAAAATTCAACATAAATTTAAGGAAATGATTAACAGAACATAAAGGAATGAAATCAGGAATGCGATAGGGTACCTTGAAAAACTCCTAGATCTTGACCTAGACAGAGACCTAGAGATAGACCTCCCATATCGCTTGTATGGAGAAGGCGATCGAGAATACCTATTAAATAAACAACAAGCGATCATAAGAAAAAGGCTTTCCAAATAACAAAGGAGTCAACAGAGAAGTCATATTGTATAGACATCTAACCTTGATCTTCTGGAATAAGACATCTGCAACAAAACAAACAGCATAAAGAAGTTAGCACTAAACAAATTTACCAATTAATAAGTTGTGACAATGGCTTAACAACATAAAGTGTTACACTCAAATAAGAAACTCCCAACCTCGCATTGAATAAAAATCAAACTGATGTGACCAAAAATTAAAACAAAATAAATATAACATCTTTTACCCTCTCTAATCAATCCAGCAGGTTTAGTTCACTATGGGGTGTTTGGATGAAAATGAAACCATAGTTTTAAAAGTGATTTTACAGATTTTACAGATGTAAAAAAACTTTCTCCATTTGCAAAAAAATACTTTTGAGAAGCATTTTACAGCTTCCCAAACACCCCCCCCCAATGCTTATTCAATTATTTGAAATATCGAAAGACCAAATAGCAATTAACTTTAGCATCCACCAGAGTTTTCCAATTATCAGTAACAAGATTTGAAAATAAACATATCAAATAACTGATCCGCGCTTAGCTATTCAAAATCGAACTCGCCGTTTCAAAGGTGACTCTAACTTATCAATTTAGTACAGGCTGATAAATTATTCATATTTCGTTTAACATATGAATTGCACCATATACAAAACCCCCTTCATATTTCTCTCTAGCTATTTTTTCTCTCATGTTTCTTCCATGGGTCCGCTTTTACTGAGATGAAAATTTTCGTTATAGGCTTACAGCCCCCTCCAGTTTTATGGTCATACAACAATTTCGCAAAATCAGAAGCTACTCTCCATTTACCTCTCTTGCAAACCTATGTGAAGGCTCGCTTTCACCCGAATTATCAAGGTTCATATAAAAACCTAATAAAAGCGAAGTCACAGCGCACACAGATGTAAAAAGTATCGAAAAGTTGCAAATCAAAGAAAACTAAATCCTGAAAACCAACAATAACTATGATAACCGATGCAAGTGTCTCCGGAAAACACGTGAAATTTATAGCCAAAAAAACATAAAAATTCCCGACAACTAGAAAAGTAACCAACAGGATCGACCATACTCGCGAAAGGGTGAATTTGAAATTGAATTTGAAGCTTACCATATCAGCAAATGTTACGAGATTTCTTTTTTCTATAAAACTTGCTTGGCTGGTGCCGGATCTCCCACGCCCTCGGTCTTCCCGGTGCAGTATCAGGATCAGAAGCAGGACACCGAGGAAAGAACGCCTTATATAGGAGTATCATCCGAAGAAGCTTCTGGAGGAGCGGACGCCAAGCTTCATTTAAATCTTGTTAAATATTTCGTGGTCAATGAATTTACTTTAACAATAGTCTTACATTCGCGAAAGATTCTTAGGGAGGTATTTAACATTCTTGAAAACGCGCTTTCAGAAACATTTTTTTATAAAACAAGATAACATCCTCTACATATTTATTTCGTAATCTGTAAAAATACTTTTGAAATTATGGTTTGATTTCTATTCAAACACCCTCTTATTGCTTCCTCTTTTTCTTTGGATAGAATTAGCCTTCACAAAAATTCTATAAAATATAGACTTGATGCTGTTTGTAACTTTATATCTATAAATAATACTAAGCATCACTAAAATAATAATAAGTAATAAAATACACGTCTTCTTGTACAATTGAAAAGTTACTAAACGATTCTCTTATTCCTCACTAGTTTTGGCACCAAAAATAATATCAGCGATCCGATGCATTAGAAATATTGAAGAATTTTTCATACAATTGATTATACTCGTATAGTTATTTTTTAAAATGAGATGCAATAAGTGGTGATTTTCTGCAATTAAGTTTATAATTCTTCATTAATTATGAAGATGTTTTATGTAATTAAAGAGTAAAATAAAAATATAAGAGACTAGATTGTTTTTGTATATTATTTAAATAAATAAAAAAAGGTGCCTATCAACAAATATTCAGTTTGCATTATAAATTAAATATAGTTTTGTTACGATACAAGATTTTATTAGGTTGAGCCAAGAGGACATATGGTTTCAAGAGGAAAGGGCAAAATAGGATTATATTAAGAACTTTCTTTACCAATAAAAATTAGGTCTAGCGGAAGAGGCCGTTAAACCCTCACAACGTGACGAATCAAAATTCAAATCTCTGATAAAAAAAGTATCCACATTTAGTACTAGACAGTATCTCAAATAGGATTGCCTCCAAATAAAAATTAAAAAAAAATGAAGTTCCTTTCTCTTTTTCCTGTGGTCTTCATTCTACATAAGGCTCTTTTCTTCTAAGATTTTCTGCATGGTTGCTCTTGATCTATACCAGTGCGCCTATACTTATCTAATTTCCCTTATTAATGCAAGCGGAACCTGAAGTTATTTGACAATATATTCAGAAATATTTGGGTTGATAATTTGCTTGCAAGGTAACTATAACAAGCTTCTATCTCATAAACATGGTTATATAGACATTTTAATTTATCATGAAGGATTAGCCACGTATCCAAGAATTTTAAATGACAATACTGATCATCTAGAATCAGGCCAAAAAAAGAAAAAAAAGATCATCCTAGAAATTAGCGAAACAAGTTTTTCATGGGGAAGCAATCCAGATTCCAGACCATCCATCAGCTTTGAAATTCAAGTCACTTAAGTTTGGCAATTTTTACACAAGCTACTAGTGAATGGGAGAACAAGACCCAGGAATTATCAGACAAGCTAAACTATTTTGGGCACATCTGGAAACTAGAATGAGGCCTTAAATTTCCATTCAATTTAACAAAAATATATGTATCGTCCAATATAATAATCTCATCTTCTGCCCCTTTGGTCTCCATTGACCCCAGAACATAATGGCAACCAAACCCACATTTTCTGGTGGCTTTTCAAGGTTATTTCTCTTTAGCCATATTTTCTTATCTAACTTTCTCAGATACCTGGGAGATTCAGTGTTTTTGAGATCAGATAACAGCGAAGCTGTCTCAAAATCTAAATGTTGCATTTGAGGGGAGAGTTTACTCTTAGATAAGTCAAACTTATCATATGAAGACTTTTAAATACCAAATAAAATTGTACTAATTTAAAAGGAAAATTTAACATGACTGACAAGGAGTACGTGAAGTTTATAGAACCTAATATGAAGGACACGAAGAACAATAGACACAATATAACATGCGAGCAACCTCATAAACTGAGCTTATTAGACCCAAAATAAACTTCTTCCTCTCTACATTTGGCCACCAACATTTAATAGAACGTGAAATTCCCACAACCTAACATAGAAGCTGAGATCTGCAGGATCACCAGATCTTCATTTGGAACTTTCAAATGTCACTCCTGCTAGGTTTGTCTGAATTGAAGCCCACCTGAAACAGATTCAGCCATCCAAGTCAAGTCAGAGCTAGTTTCCAAAAGAAATATATAGATGAAATAGAAATATTGGATCTGTAAGAATACTACATCAGATATATTTAAATAAAGCACATTACCTCGTTTGAAGCAGCTGGAACCCAGTCATTAGTTGCTGGATTGCACTTGCCAGAGGGATGGTGTGTGGTGTCACTATCTGGCTCTATGTGGAAGAATTTGCCATTTTCCCCCATTTTGATGAACCCTGTTCCCGTCTGTGAGCAAACCATATACATCCATTAATCTGTAATCTTTAAGGCCACTGGAAAACTTAATGCCAAGTCCATGTGATGATCATGAGGCAAAAAATTGGTCCGATGACTTGCAACATTAAACAAAACCCAAAAAACGAAAGAGAAAAACAACTTAATATGAGTTGCTGATGCAGTATGAATAATGTTAAGAAGATCGAAACTGAATACCGTATGATGTTGTTTGTCAACGCTGTTAAGATCCTTGTAATACTCTGTTTCCACGAATTCCTCTGTCTCTTGGTTTCCATTGCCGGCCAAATTCTGCATGCGTCATATTATTAGATAACCAAATGCATGTGAAAGGATACACTTTGAAGATGTCCAAGACTAGCTTCTTGTTTTTCTTAGCGAAGTAAAGAGAAAGAAAAATAAATGTTTCGAACGCAAATAGATAAGATACTTCAATTTTTTCTCAGTCCAGGACTCCAAGTTCAGATCTACATGTCAATAGCAACAGGAGAAATTTTATATGTCATGCACGGTCTCATCAAAAAGCAGATCATAAGAATAACATTTAGATACAAGCTTTAAAAATTTACTGTAAAAGTGTTATATATTTATCAAACTTAAATTAAGATTCCATGCCAAAACCCATTCAGATCTATGTCCTACTAAGAGTCTGAGAGTAATACTACGAAGCTGTTTGGATCAGCTTCCAAAATTATACTTTACGAGCTCGCACAGCCCAAGATCACTTCTTTCCGGTTAATTTATATTTCATCCAAACTGGCACTACATGCAGATCAAACGACTAATTGATAAGCATCCAAGCAAAGGTCTCATCAAGCGTTTGTAGTCCAACGGTTAGGATAATTGCCTTCCAAGCAATAGACCCGGGATCGACTCCCGGCAAACGCAGAGGGTGTATTTTTACCTTCTATTTTTTCAGTCCCTTCCAAGAAAATTAAGAATCGAGAAAGGAGAAGAGAAGTTTGAGGAACTAACCTGAGAATGAGGAAGATTCTCGAGGCGTTGGAATTGAAGCATCTCAGGAATGGCATCCTTAACGTCGCCGGCAAGATCATCGACGTATTGAGAAGAATAGTCGCTGCGCTGAGGCTTAGTGTGGCGCTTGGGAACGACGCCGTCGAAATACTGCCTAGTCTTCGCCTCGATCTGAGCCTCTTCCTCCGTGGACAGATGAACGTCGCTCCTGTTCGGCCTTCCGCAACACTCCATTCTCTCTCTCCTTCTCCCTTACTTTTCTTCTGCTAAGAATTGCGGGGGATGATGATCACGTTAATGCGGACTCTTATAAAAGCTTGAGCCAGATATTTTTGGTGCCCACACGATTAGTATGTACGGAAAATTTCGGATAGCTTTTAACAAATTAAATTTAAATTACTTGTTTTAAATTAAAACATGATATATAATTGGATAAATAATTTATCAATAAAAATATAAAAACGTATCACCCATTAATAATTATGATATTAAAACTATAGACTTGTCATTTTACTACTACTATTAATTTTTTTCAAAATCATTTTATCAACTAAATTTGTAATAAAAAATATATTATAAGTTATATTTATATAAAAATCTTGGCAAAATAATTTTATAGAAAAATGGCCAACCAAGATCAATAATTTGTGCATGATAAATATCTTTAAAAATATTGAATAGAGATGTCATTGGTGTCTTTTTTATACAATTATCACCGGTGTCCTAATTGCTTAATTTGATCTTATTGATGTTACCCTGAAGAGGATTTGATAGTAAATTTAGTATATTACTACCTCCAATAACTAATATAAAAGCCAAATACTTATTTGAGGACATTACAAAATAATAAATTCTGATTATAGAATCGTTTTAAAAATCAATATGTCGATAGTAGTTTGAAATTGTAAATGCTCCTCAATTCGTCTAAATACGTTATTTGTAATGTGAAATCCCAATAATCTGCACCACACAAAGAAAGTGACATAATAACATGCAAAATAGCTAATTAAATGACGAGAGTGCACCAAATTAATGATTAATTTAGTTTTATATTCTTGGAACGAAAACGTTTTTAAAATTAATTTCATAATTCACAAAAGTAAGAATTTTTGGGCCAAAAAATATTCAAAAAGTGTCAATTAAATTATGGAGGAGAGCTGGTTGATGAATTGATAATTTTCCCACCGAATTGACTTGGAGTTTTGTTGGAGAAAATAGTTGTATTTCGTGTAGATATTTAGTTGCAAGAAAATATCTAAGAAATCTTATCCGGTTGTTCTTTGGCAGGCGGGGTAGTTGGGCTCCTTAAATTTCCGTGAAGACTAACCAAGGTAACGTTGCATCACTTGCATGTGTGGGGTTACAAATCCGAGGGCATCAGTGTAATTACAATAACTCTTATCATGAGTGAATAATTGTGGGGCTAGAGATCCAGATGCATTAGAGGGAAGGATATACTCAATACTGCTAATTGCTAATTCTATCTCACACCTACTAATTTATTAATTTAAATAAATTAAAAAAATTAGTTAAATTATTTATTTATAATAAATAGAATTTTTTTTCTTATAATATTTTTACTAATCAAATATGTTAGTTAAAATTATTATTATTATAAGAATTATCTTAAAAAAATAAATAAATATAAAAAA